TGTGTATGTGTGTGTATGTGTGTGTGTGTGTGAGGGATATAGAGGGGTATATACTTTTCCTAACCAATAATCGATTTTAGATAAGAATTGATATCCTTACATCGAAGTTTACATAGTGTTCGATACAATTTCAACACACACACATCTTCGGCTGTGGGGAGAGGGGGAATAGTGATATTCTCCACCCACGAAAATTCTTACATACTTACATCAGTTTTTATCTATATATTAATATATACACACACCCACATTTCGATTATAAGTACGCACACACATACACAAACCACACACATGTATATACACATCACACACATTCACCTACTTAAACATCACACGCTTTTATCTGTATACACATCATACACATACATCTAAATACACATCATACACATACATCTACATACACATACATCTATATACACATCATACACATACATAATACATCTACATAGAAATACATCTACATACAGATACATCTACATACACATACATCTACATACACATCATACACATACATCTACATATACATACACATTACATTCTTTCACACACACACATACACACTCATATATATCACACACATACACCAAACATACTACACACACACACACACCTATACACCCAGTGTCTGGGAAAACAACAGTAAAAAAAATCTATCCTGGGGCCACGGTCGGTAACTCTCGAGAAGAAAGAGCACGAACGATCTGAGTCTAAAATTAGATTTATGTCTCGACTCAAGTCATCCGTGACGCCACTAGACCGTGTCACGCTGTAGTTAGACATAGACGCTTGACTAAACGGTTTTCCTTTTGATACATTAGAAACAAGTCAGAACGTGTGAAACGAACAAAAGATTTTTCCACAACAAACTTCTACGGAACTATAGCAGGCATACAGTATAGTCACCGACAATAGAACTCGTGTCTTCATCAGAAGAAAAAAAACCTCCGCATTTTAAATATTCAATACATTTTAATTTCTATTTTAGGGGTTTCCACTGAAGACAATGAATCGTAAGATATTTTTCTTGTTTAAGAAAAAACACGCATGTTATTTAAAAATACACATGCATTTTTAGATACTTTCTAACTTTGGATTTTTCTTGTATTCGTAAAAAATCTATACATAATAATTAAAAATACAAGGTTTCGAATAACAAAATCGATATTTAGTCTTCGATTTGCACAAGCAAACGAGCGAGTGAGATAATTACGCTGCAATTTTTAGACCGTAGGAAAATCGGTATTTCCACACAAAGACAACGTACTAAAAATCAAGTAAGACAACTCGTGAGCGTAGGCCTGTCAATCATTACCTCCCTTACGTACTGATATAGATAGAAAGTGGATATGTAGCCTACTTATCGAAATAGACGAGATTTTTGTTTAAGAACAAAGAAAAATCTAGTCCATATACATACCGATGATCATTCTGTTAAGTACAGAAGTTTAAGATATAGAAAATAAAAAATAAAATACTGTTGCGGTCTAATGATGTTTGATTGTAAAGATAGTTGCATCTATCTACTCACTGACTATTACAGACTCGGTCAAATTGAACAGTGGTGTCTAAATCAAACTGACCAGTGGTGTCTAAATCAAACTGTCCAGTGGTGTCTAAATCAAACTGACCAGTGGTGTCTATATCAAACTGACCAATGTGTCTAAATCAAACTGACCAATGTGTCTAAATCTAATTGACCAATGTCTAAATCAAACTGACCAGTGGTGTCTAAATCAAACTGACCAGTGGTGTCCACATTTGACTGACCATCAGAACACTATCCCCGTGTCTGTATACGACTAAGGACTACACCAGCTATAAAGGAAATATTTTCTAACATCTCTTGGTTATTTTTTTATTCTAAACATATACAACACCATAAATCAAATTATTCAACTACGACTAAATATGCACTATAAAATAAACAAAGTTATCAATTCTATTTTATTTTTTTATTTATTTATTTATTGTGCTTCTTGTAAAAAACCAAACAAAAAAACTGTTATTTTAGCAGTCTGTTTTAGCATCCTAGGTATTATTTTTTTACAAGTAAATCCCCTCCCCCCTAAATATTTCCATTTAGATCATTTGCCGTCTAGACCAGTAGCAAGCAATGAAGATAGAGATTATAAACTTCGTATTACAATAATCTTGGTTGGATTAATCCTGACAACAAGGGGATTAACCTGACGTCAGGAGAAGGTCGTGTGTAGGCGGGCAAGACATTTTTAATCTGATGTCTGAGAACCATGAGCCGTAGGTCTGAACCATGAGCCGTAGGTCTTAACCATGAGCCTTAGGTCTGAATCATGAGCCGTAGGTCTGAAACAAAAGCCGCACGTCTGAAACAAAAGCCGCACGTCTGAATTAGGAGCCGCACGTCTGAAACAAAAGGCGCACGTCTGAAACAAAAGCCGCACGTCTGAAACAAAAGCCGCACGTTTGAATCAAAAGCCGCACGTCTGAATTAAGAGCCGCACGTCTGAAACAAAAGCCGCACGTCTGAAACAAAAACCGCACTTCTGAAACAAAAGCCGCACGTCCTCTGAATCAAAAGCCGCACGTCTGAAACAAAAGCCGCACGTCTGAAACAAAAGCCGCACGTTTGAAACAAAAACCGCACTTCTGAAACAAAAGCCGCACGTCTGAATCAAAAGCCGCACGTCTGAATCAAAAGCCGCACGTCTGATTTAACCCACGTGATCGCACTGAATCACAAGGGCCGGTTCTGCTCACAGCAGCAGGAGCCAGGGCCATATATCTGACAGGGAGATAGAGCCGCAGCATCTCCCCGGGTGTATTTACATAACTGCAACCGTAGTCCGGATCTAACGGTACTGATCTCACATCTACATATCCACGGGGAGGGGATAACGATTTTTACGACGTCCCTTTGTACTTTAATAGAGCCCCGTGGGGGGTAGGGCGGACCGGACCTACCACCCCACCAGAATCTGTAATCAGGGTCAAGGACCATGTCCAAAAGGGTCATGCTATTACATTGAGGGGGAGGGCAACGACCAGAATTTTATTTACAACCGCAGACTGTCCATCCCATGATCACACAAAAACAAAAAATTAAATTATTTTAGCTGACCCCTAAAATTTCACATTGCCCATCTGGAAATACCGAAACAAAACAACAACAAAAATGTCTGCACTAACGCATTGTCGTAAAAAGAAAAAAAAATGTCTTTCAGCTGTAAAGGTTGTCAATTTACACATTTAAACTTGACATTGACAAATTTAAACCTGACATTTACGCACAATCTTGAACTTGGTGGGTCAATGTGAGTGTTGTTGGTCCAGTCAGTGGCGTTACTAGGTCAAGTGTCGCTCGGTGCGGTACATTATGGTGTCGCCCCCCCCCCCCTACAAAGGAAAGACAGTATAGACTATATATATATATATATATATATATATATATATATATATATATATATATATATATATATATATATATATATATATATATGTATATATGTATATATATATATATATATATATATATATATATATATATATATATATATATGTATATATATATATATATATATATATATATATATATATATATATATATATATATATATATATATGTATATGTATATATATATATATATATATATATATATATATATATATATATATATATATATATATATATATATATATATATATATATATGTATAAAGTTTTCATAGTGCATTATCAGATATGGTGTCACCTCTCCCCCCCCCCCCCCCACGGGGGTCGTTATATAATTTATCATTTATTGTAAATACTTAACGGGTCAAGTTATTGCTGCAAGAGTTAAAACCTTCTTGCTAAAAAACTAACCTTCACCCTCCCACCCCCTCCCCTTTCTCTGTCGACCCCCCCCCCCCCCTCCCCTCTTAAAAAAACACAACCACCAGAGAAAACCTTGAGATTTCGTCAGACGAGCAGAAAATAGGTCACCCAGCAGATGTGACCAGATTAAAATTGAGAATTTTCAACCAAAAAAAACAGAGCTTAACTTTGTTTTCAGTTTGAGTTGAATCTCAAGTCAACGGGGAGTCAAGCGACGGCAATGAGCTCAACAATTAGGTTAATGCAGTCAATTCTACTATTAGAACGTTGTTTTTTTCTGTGTGACAATGTATTTCAAAAAGTCTAATGCTAATAATGGATGGGGCACAAATGCGGTCAATTTTCAAAATTTTATAAAGTTTAAAGTGAAACTCGACGGAGTGCTCTAGCAGTAGAGAGCTGAACTGCTAACCCGTAGGTCTCGAGTTCGAATCCGGGTTCAAGTCAGTAGACCGTCATTGAGTCCACCCAACTCTGATCGGTACCTAACACACGTTAGGGAAAGAAAAGGCGGCTGGGCATAGTGCTGACCACACTATCTCTTCATATGACGAGGTCACAGAAACAAGTGAACTCTACTTCACTTTGAAAAGGGAACTTTACTTTAAAGTGAAACTCAAGAAGATGAAAAACCTCATGTGTTGAAAGTGTATAGAACAAAACACAATTAAACTTAGTGTCATACATGTCAACTAAACAAGGATAAGTTGTAAAATAGATGTCATATGACCAGGGATACTTTATATCATAGAAATATATATATGTATATGTATGTTTAAATGTATGTATATAAATAAATAAATATATATATATAAATATGTATATATATATATATATATAAATATAAATATGTATATATATATATATATATATATATATATATATATATATATATATTCCCGATCTAAAGTCAGTAGAATATCCTTGAATATCTTTGAAAAGCTGTGCCTGCATCCAAGTGACAACACTAACCCTTTTAAGCCGAGGTGTGGTAAACCATTTCTAACAAAGTGCTGACTTCATAAAAACATACCCAGTCAGGGTTGTCTCGCATTAAATTTGTTTTGTCTACCATATACGACACGATTTAATCTGCTTTTTTTTTGTTGTGAGTTAATATTTCACAAGAGAGAAAATGTATCACTTACTTAATTACTTTGTCTTTTACTTGTGAGGTCAATGACTTTATCTCTGTGGGTTCATTGACCTTGTCTTGCAGCTTTAAAAGGTCAATGACTTCTCATAATGGATTCCGTCTTGACAATGGTATCATCCTTTAAAAATATTTTGACAAATGGATTACAATAAAGAAAATCTATCAAAATTTATTGTCTTTAACTAGCAAGACAATATAATACTCCTATCTTTAGCTTAAACTTAGCTCAAATATATTAGTCGCTAATCAGGTTACACTGTATTGGATAAAAGTATTCAAATACAACTTTACAGTATGAAATAACGATGATTATTGAGTTGTCTTTATTTGTTATCGTCATTATAAAAACATGATAATATAGGATATTTGTTTTGTACATTTTGTAAAGCGAGGAAAGTATGTAGATCACAACACTTTATGTCAATTTCTTAGTATAAGCTCCACATTACACGTGTATATAGTTTACCTTGGTCAACTATAAAGTTAACAAAACTGGGGACAATGAGGATACAGCCATCAAACATTTAGTCCAGCAAACGGCATCAGATAAAGATACCCAACATACGACATTAGATACAACTACCCAACTGTTACGGGTCAGTTGTAGGTTAGATTAGAATAGGATAGAATGATCTAGAATTAGGGGACAGTGAGTGTGTGAGTTGAGTTTACCCTAGAATATTGTTAACCCCGGTGTTTGTGTATTGTTATCCCAAGGTCGAATGCGATATAAAAGCTGGAGTGAATGATTGTCAGGGGTCAGTTGCTAGCGATTAGGACGAGGGCTGCTTTTGAATATATATATTTTTGACGGAATTAAAGTAGTAAACATAGTCACGAAGAGTTGTTTTGTCAGAGACTAACCCGGAACGTAATACCAACATACGGCATCAGATATAGATACCCAACATACGGCATCAGATATAGATACCCAACATACGGCATCAGATATAGATACCCAACATACGGCATCAGATAAAGATACCCAACATACGGCATCAGATATAGATACCCAACATACGGCATCAGATAAAGATACCCAACATACGGCATCAGAGAAAGATACCCAGCATACGGCATCAGATAAAGATACCCAACATACGGCATCAGGTAAAGATACCCAACATAAGGCATTAGATACAACTAACCAACATTTAGTCTGTTATACGGCGTCATATTTTGTGTATCTGTATCGAGTTCGAATCCCGGTCGGGACCTGTGACCGTATGACATCATTGAGTCCACCCAGCTCTGAAGTGTACCTGACTCACGTTAGGGAACCAACGGCGTCTGGGCATAGTGCTGACCACACTGTCACTATCCCTTGTCTTCTGAGGTCATTAAAAAAGATGAACTCCATCTGACCCATGGCTACGAACGGGAAAAGAAGAGAAAGAATAGAGAGAGAGAGAGAGTCAAAATAGATTTCTTTATAGAATAAACTTAATCAACATGTAGGTTAATGGCTGCTGGTAAAGAGGAAGAGCGCTAATTATAGTCGTCATAAAAATTAATTACGGGACCAAAAAGTCATCACGGGTTACCTGTCAGGTGTGCCTACGTGACTCTCACATCCGGTAGTGTGAGCGGTGAATCCACCTGGGAATATTTGTTTGACCAGTGACCTATTAGCCTCATCCGGTAATTGATCCGGTAGGTCATTCGTGTAAATTTAGAGATGGACCGACTTCAATTTACGAGGCTTCTATGGACGGACGGAGCTAAAAATAAAAAATATCGCCAAGTGCTCGGAAATTTCCACATAATATCTAGGGCAGTAGGATAGAGATTCTGCTGCTCGATTCTACTAGATCTGTACAAAAATGGGTATCCATTTATTTATTGTTTCGTGACAACCTCTACACAATTTTGAAAAATAAACGAAAACTTAGTTCTCTGACTTCTGCATGCATTTCATTATTACCGAAATGTTGCTAAGTTTTAAAATTAATGACTGAAATTAAATTCTCAACTAGTCTAGGTTTTGGTTGTTGGAGTGTAGAGACATCATATGCCTACTTCAAACAGAGCAAGAGGTCTTAGAAGAACAAAAACAACGTACTTTCAGCATTTTGATATCATTTTATCATCAGCTAGGGAAAAATACAACTTTTAAATTTATATATCGTTGAGAAAAGCTAGGAAAAAAGTCAACTCTTAAATTTACATATCGTAGAAAAGCTGGGAATAATGACAATTTTTAAAATCTAAATATCGTGAGAAGCTGGAATTAAAAAAACTACCCAAAGATCACTGAACAGAACGAAAAACGTTGGATCTACTATACACTTTCATGTGTACCTTAATAGAATAATGTTGGTATTGGTATGCAAAGTGGTTCAGCTACTATTGAAAGATTTATGATAATTTATGATCAAACTTCTTGATCAAATTATCGAGTGTTGGGGGAGGGGGGGGGGGGGGTTGGCGGGCGTGTCGCAGAAGATTACAGTGAGTGGAATAAACAAGGTCAAGGCCATCACTGGTGCCAGTCACGTGACAAGGTCGTCTTACCGAGTTTTCTGAGAGGAAGGTCAGCGATTTTAAAAAAATGTTATCTCGTCCATTGCACTTTCAAGGGCAGGTAACCTCTGCTCGGGTATTTGGGTCTACCCTGTACACCAGCGGTTCTCTCATTGTTAGGGGCACAGGCAACAAAGGGGGGTGGGGGGCTCTAGTTAGAGAGGGATATACAAAGATCTAATGCTATCATCGGGGCAGTCATGAGCTAGAGAGGGCTATCCCCGTAAAGGTATATTGTGAGAGAGATTAGCCCAACTTGTGGCTTAGCATACGTGTATTGGTAGCGGAGACAAAATATTGAAGCGGTTTAACAACGAAGTAAAGAAAAAAAAGGTTGTTATTCAAAGTTCGGTCGTACGCGAATTAAAACATTTGATCTTTCACTCTGCGCAATGAATAAAACAAAAAAACTATTTTATTGAACATATTTGATTAAAAGTTTGATGAGAGATTAACCGAATTTCAGCTTGCCCGACTTTTATTACTACAGAATAATTTGTTTTTCTAAAGTTAGTGGTGCATCGCGTATATCAATGAATGGTGTCAGACTACATTAGATTGTTGTATTATTCGCTGGGGGGGGGGGGGGGAGAGGGTCGAAATATATAACTATTTTTGTCGACTTCGTTTTGTCACAAAAAGACACCCTCCTCGTAAAATAACGTCTCATAGCCAACATTACAGCCTTCCAACTTCCCTCAACGAAACATCCTGTTTCCCCAGCCATGCGACAGCAATGCTACATGACATTTCTAAATACCCATCCCACGTAGCGCTAAGTCACAAAAGTGAGAACCTCTGACCCCCCCCCCCTCACTTACAACTACATTTGTGACGCGATAGACGCACGACCCCTGTAAAAGTGGGTCCAAACGAACAATTCTAAAACACAACTCTCACACAAACCGGTCAAAGACGTATTTCTCTACCAACTGACCACCGCCATCTTGGACTTCAAATCAAAGACGGTGATTTACTTGACCCCAAACTGAGGTCAAAGGTCGGACAACATGTCCGTCTTAACTTCGCACCATTAGTCGCAAGTGTGAATGGCATCCATAACAAACATAACATACATAACAATTCACATTGATTGTTATTTATGGTCGAGCACCAATCGATAAGCCCGCAAACAACTCCAGGTATCCCCAACTGTCTAACTTTAAAAGATTACAATCGATACTGTTTAGGTTTAATATCTATTTAATCCGATTAGTTGCGATTCAGATATGGGATTTCAGCTTAAAAGATCAATAACATTTATACTAATTTGGTTGGAAAACTAAAAAAAAAAAGGCTAACATTATTTTAAGAATCTGGACTTTCCTGAAAATAAAATTTTCCGATGACGTTGGTGGAGGGGGGAGAAAATTAATTTTTAAAATGTCAAAACGATGGGTTAAGATGTTGTTCAGCTTGCATTTTACTACAAATACAGATCTGGTATGAACAGGCTAAAATCCCCGCCCTTCACCCCCCCCCCCCCACCCGCAACCACCCAACTACACACCCTAGAGAGTAAAGAATTCTTTCAAAGGTGCTGCGAATTTCAAATGAAATTTTTAACAAAAATTGACCCCATTAATTAAAAAATCTCGTTCATGGAAGGTCAAGGCGAGGTTTCTATTTTTAAAAAAAATCAATACCGTAAATATGAACGCACGGCTTTCTCGCACGGCAAAAAAAGTGGGCCGAGATTTGAACGGCAACAGTTGACAAGTAGGTTACGGCACTGTTTTCTGGTTGGTCGGATACATCCGCAGACAAAGACATGAGTAAAACGTCATCAAACTGTGTGGTAAACACATCTGGCACGCGCTGCATCTCCCCCCTTCCCACGTAAACGGATGACGTAGTTGAGAAGTCGTAGTTGAACACGTGACGTTATTTATTTTAAATTATTAGGTAATTGGTGCGACAAGCTCCGTTGATCAATGTTTCAGTACATTTAACGTTCTAGAAAGAGAGCTATCCGAGGAGTATGTTTGTTGTGTTGCAGGGGCGTCATTCCATTATTGAGGATGGGAGGGGGGGGGGGGGGGTGATTAGATTCACAAGAATAATCACTAATGAATTTTTTAAAAATAAAGCCCTCAGCTAATGGCTTTGTATATTAATTTATAATGTCCAATTAAGTATTAATGACACGTTTTAATAAGGTTGATTTAGTTCTGTGTTAATTATTTTAAACAGCTTAGGTATTCATCACTATTCATTCATTATTTATGCGATTTGGCACTCCTGGCTAAACTGTGAGCTCTATGCGTTTATGTTTGCATTTAAGTTTTGTTTATGTTATGTGTGTTACGTTAGCATTTGTGTTTGCATTGTGTTTGGTTTTGCGTTTGCGTTTTCTTTTGTGTTTACGTTACGTTTTTTCGTATGTGTTTGTGTTTGTGTTGCGTTTGTGTTTTCGTTTGTGTTTTTTTGTGTTTGCGTTTGTTTTTGTGTTTGTAGTGTTTTTGTGTTTGCATTGTTCTCGTGTTTGCGTTTTCTTTTGTGTTTGTGTTGAGTTTTATTTTGTGTTTTTGTTGTGTTTGTGTTTTCTTGTGTTTGTATTTACGTTGTGTTTATGTTTGCGTTTGTGTTTAGTTT